TGAGGACTGCTGTGGCTGCGCAGCCCCATGAAAGAGAATCCTCCCTAGTCCCCAGTGGGCAGAACTGGGGACAATCAGATCTGAACAGGGAACTCATGCCACTGCCAAGGAGGCGAGTCAGCAACTGACAGTGCCTGGAGGGTCTGCTGGTCTAGACTACTGACCAAAGGATGGTGCCATCCTGAGAGTTTCTCTCCCCCAGCCCATCACCAGGATAACAGTCGGAGGGGAATCTGACTACAGAACTCCTAACGAATTCAGATATGAAGAATAGAACATACTCCAGTGGGAAATCAGTTTCCAGAGGGAGGGGACATAAGGGGGAGGATGGTCTGCCTCTCCCTCCCCTGATGACTCTAAGCTGTGTTGAAGGGAGCTAAATGTATGGTTTAGCCTACAGGAGGAAGGATGGTGAGGACTCACACCTGGACCAGACAGACAAATGGAGGAGCTCTGGACATCAACTGGGGACTATGGACCTAGATACTGAAGCCATCACAGCCCTGGGACATCTGTGCAGCAGCTGGATGTGACTTCAGGCTGTCTCTTGTTGGGGCAGATGTGGACAACCATCAGGAGTGGGGGCAAGCTCCCTAGCCTGCACTTGTCAGAAATGTCCTTGGGCTTGTTTATATCCTCTTAGGCCAGGGTTTCCTAACTTCAGCACTCTTGACACTTGAGGTTGGATAATTCTTTGTTGCAGGGGGCTGTCCAGTATACTGTAGGATGTTTGGCAGAATCTCTGGCCTCCATCCACTAGATGACAGTAGCACACTCCCTCCAAAAAAATTTGTGACAACCAAAAGTGTCTCCACCGCGGGAGGGTAAAATCGCCCCTGGCTAGGAACCATGGAGGCAGTGAGGTACTTAGGAGTAGTATGAACAGGAGGAAGACAATTGCAAGGGTGGGGAAAGAGTTGCAAGGGTAGTGTTCAGCAGTGCCCAGGGCCCCTAAGACAGGAGGTTAAAAGTTGGGTCTGGCGGTCACCTTTGAGCCAATCTGGGCATGGGGTGAAGAGGGGTCAGAAGCCCAACTGCAAGGATTGTGGAGTGTGCGGAAGTGAGGAAGTGCAGTCAGTGCTGGGGGCTCCTCTTCAGGGACATTTGACTGTGAGGTAGATCCTGCACAGTGTATTGGAGTCATCTCCACTATACTGTTCAATGAAAAAAATATAATGGCTAATTGAGTGTTTTGTGAAACAAAACCTCCAAAAATTCTGTAAGCATATGTGTATGCTATGTATATTATAGATTTATGTGTGCCTTATGTTACAGATTTATGTTTGAATAAGCAAAAAAGGTCTGGAAAAATATTTAGCAAATAAGGTATTAACTAAGGAGGGTGGGATCAAGATCAGAGAATGGGAATCAGAAGTGTGGGTTTGGGGTGAGGTTGAGGTATGGGGCAGTAGGATGGAGGGCTTTTATATCTTTATATATTTCTGTGTTGTATAAAGCAAAATAAATGCTCACAAAAAATACAAAAAATAAAAGTAAGTGAATTTACTGGCTTGGGTGGGTTTGGAAAGGCCACTTCTTCCTCTGGGATGGGAGGGAGGAAAAAGCAGACACTGATCTGCCTGGCAAGGGGGTGGGAAATCAGGGGGGCTCGTGTCTGTGTGTTCATGATGTGGACAGACAAGGCATCTGAAAGTGAGCAAGGACATAAGGTCATGGCGGGGGTGGGGGCTTCTGAGAAATGGCACTTGGTGGAATAACTGCACAGAATGAGGGTGGGGAATGGAGGGAGAGAAAAGGAAACTAAAGTGGGAGTCTGGAAGGAAAAGGCAGGGGAGCCAGGTAGGTCCAGGATGGGAACCAGATACAAACCTTAAGTATTACAGCCTGACACCCACTAGCTACAGCAATAACAGCACATACAAAAGGGGAAGAGGCAAGAGGGATTGGCAGGGGTCTGTGCCTGACTCCCTGTCCCTTCTAGGCTTGTAGCATATCTTTTCATTTGCTGTTCTGCTATGGAGAAGCTCAGCACTAGTTATACTTTGTTTTCAGGTCCAATCAGCTGGGAGTGCAATTTCTAGCAACCCAGTCTTTACCTGAAAATACCTAAGATTTTAAAGTAAAGTTCAACTTACTTTAGGTCTTTGATTTTACAGTATGGATTACGCAGTGCTTGGCAGAGCAAGTGCAGTGGAGACACTGGCAAATTGCGCAGTTGGAAGGGCCTAAAAGAGACAAGAAAGTGAAAATAATTTAAAATGATTGAAGATAAAAATTTAAGTAAAACACTTATTTTGGCTTCTGTTGCTATACTAGTATTAATTTACCTCTTTCAAAAACCTTAGGCAGTCTTACCCCATTTTGGAGATAAGGAAATTAAGGCACAAAAAGTTAAGTAATTTTCCCAAGGTCACAGAGGAACAAAATGAAGGTCAATACTCAAATCTATTTGGCTCCAAAGCCAAAGCCATGTTATTGTGTACCACGCACCAAGGTAGGCACTTTACATATAGAATTTATCCTATCTGGTCCTTAATCCAATGACAGGTATTATAATCACTATTTTGCTGATGCTCAGAGAGGTCAAGTGACTTGCCCAAGCTATCTTTATAATATAACTGATTCTTGGTTGTCAGTACTAACGGAAGAATTAATGACAATAATTGAGAACTAGAAAAGTTCAATACAATTGAAAAATGTGGGAGTTAGGGGCACCGATCCCTTCCAGTCAAAAATTCATGTAAAACTTTACAGTCAGTCCTACCCATCCCTCCATATCCGAGCTTCTGCATCCAAGAATTCAACCAACCTCAATCTTGTAGTATACATTTATTGAAAAAAAAATCCATGTATAAGTGGACCTTTACAGTTCAAACCTTTGCTGTTCAAGGACCAACTGTAGTAAATTCTCACTTAGTCAACATGCTTGGGAAAAGAGTTTTGGGGTTTACAATTTGAAGAGAGTTTAAGCTCTCTGATAAAGTCAATAGAATTGAAGTTTGGGGACTTCACCTAAGGCTGGTTTTCTGGAAAGCCAGAATGAACCAGAAGCCCCTTTTTGCTTGCATCAGTGCTTAAAAATCTCTCAGTGTATGCTGTCTGTTATTTTACTTTATAATATATAGTTGAATTGAAGCTGTCATGAATTCATCAAGACATTGCAGCCAAGGTCCTTCATAATTCCAAGTTCATGTAATTTTTCCTACTCCTTTCCCTCTGGTCTTAAACACAAACTCTTGCTGCACCTTCCCTTCCTCACTTCCCACAAACACACATACCCCATGCTCATTTCCACTTCTATGTTACTGCCCACTGAAGAAATACAACTATCTGAGAAAAGACTCAGGTTAATGCACTTTCCAAGTCGAACCTTCTGCCCACTCTCATCTCCTTGTCAAGATCTCCTACCCCTCAGCTGGCCCAACAACTAAAGGAGAGGCGCTGTCAATATTAAACTGAGTACTGAGAATGGACCTATGAACAGTGGCATTTTCCAGATAACAAAGGTATAAGTCTTCTTGGCTGCTTTAGTCAGTAGAGCTGTATTTGTAGTATACAGAGTCTGTATTGTATAAATGGTTTACCTAAGCCTCTTTCAACCCCAGCTCTTGACTTTCTGTGAAAGTGCAAGTCTGGTAAAAAGAACTAAGGCTTTATAGCAGTATTCACAGGAGTGCAGCTCTGCCCCTTACTAACCTGGTGGTTTTTGAGGCCTCAGTGATGAAGTATATGTAGAGGAGAGTGATGACCAATTCAACATGAAGTTTACAATCTTTTCCAGAATAGTTATCAACACCAAAATAGGAGAGTCCCCCAAAATAATCTTAATGACTTATGTGCTCATAACTTTTTATAATTAGAAAGCACCTTCACAGAATGACATTGAAGACTAATAAACACACATACTCACAAACACACACTTATAGTGACTAGCACAGTGCCTGGCACATAGTAAGTGCTCAAAAATGTTAGCTTTCCCTCAGTGTCTACATAGGCCAGTGTTCAATATGTGATAAATAATCAAATCCTTATTGTGTTGATTGACATAAAATATGGAAACCAGAAATAATTAATTTTATTTACTGACAATGCTATAAATGATCATGCACTTGAATACTTGAAACAAACAAGAAGGCCCATCATTGCAGTAGGCCAAAACACTGAAGAAAATATATTAATATACTCACTGATTAAGCGTTAAGGTTGGTGGCATGAATGCTGAGGCTCGATCTTCCTCCTCAAATCCAAGTAGGTGCTGACACTTCAGAGACACTGACAGGTGACTGTGACTGCTTTTTACACAGAATGACATAGCCAGAATGTCCATTTTTGTATAGGTAGGTTGAAGCAGTATAATTGACTCTAACTCAGCAATTATCCTTTTTGCATATTCTTCTTCCTGAATCTCATACAAACAGCGGAACAAGTCCATTGGCTCAGTCTGTAACCTAGAAGATTTATCCTTTATTTCTTTCTCAGTCCACTTCAGTAACTCCTCTCGAAGTCCTGGAGAGACTTTTCTTCCAAAAGTAGTTTCCACAGTCTTTCCCTTTCCTTTATGTAAGAGACCAAATAAGAACTGTATTGTTAATGATGAAAACCCTTTTCCATACTGCTGGAATATTTCTTGCCACGTTTTCCCCACTTGATCAAAAAACATCCAGCTGCTGTCATTCTTCAGGGCATAGAACACAGCGGAAAGGAACTCTTGGAAACTGAAGTGAAGGAAAGTATAAACACTGACACCACTTTCAACTTTTTTCAAAAAGTGATTAAGAAAAGTGCAGTTGGTATCATATACTCCTATCCCATGTCTTCTGAGGTCACTGACTTGAAATAGGACCTGCTGGTTCTGCAGTCCCTCTGCAGCCAAAGAACAAAGGCCCCACAGGCAACTCTGTCCCTTCCACACTGAGATGCCTGTAAGGGTTTTGAGGCACTTAGAAAAGTAGAACAGATATACATCAGTCATGGTCTTAAGTGACCTCATAAGAGTCCTGTCACCATCTCCCTGTGACTGCAGGACATGGCAGATCATCCAGGAGATGATGGGAAGAGCAGACATAATGTCAAGGCCTTCATTTTCTCGCAGACCATAAAAGACTCTCATTGCTGCATTAGCACCTGAAAACTGACTTAAGAAATATGCTTTTTTTTCAGCATCTGTAAACCATAAGATCTCTGCCTGGATAGATTGTTTTAACAGAGAATGGAGCTTCTTCATGGTTGTAGGCCGGGCAGTTATCAGGAGGGAGGATTCAGGGAATAGTTTTTTCCTCACGAAACTACGTAAGAGGGTCTCTACCGGCTTCTTCTCCTGGAGGTTGGCACTAAGATCCTCTTCCTGGTCACATACAGGGTACTGAAGCTCAGGAAATCCATCAAGAATGAACAAAAGCTTCTCTGGATATACAGGAATAACGTCCAGGATTGGTCCATTTATATCTTGGAAAGTTTTAGTGATCAGGTCAGCAGCACTAAGTTTAGCAATATGGCTTATTTCTCTGCAGTTTACATAGATGAGATAGTCAAATCTGCCTGGAGTAACTATTCCTGCTGCCCAGTCAAACATAAACTTATGCACCACAGCTGTTTTCCCAATCCCAGCACATCCCTGAAGCACCACAGTTTTGGGTGAGCTGGAGCCATCTTCTTCAGGATCAAATACATGTTCCATCTCAATAAAATTATCTTGTTGAGGAATTCCGCATGCTGGCTTTTCTGATATACAATGTTCTTTTACAACAAGCAGTCGTGACTTTATATGCTTGCCATGGAGATAACATTTATCAACTCCTA